ACCCTTGAGATTATATCAGGACGATCTTGAGGTTGTAAATTCATGTTGTTAAGAAACCTATGAATCTCTGGCCAACATGGATTGCAAGTAAAGGTAATGAATAGATCGGGAAATCCAATTTGACTACAAATTGCCATTCCATCAAAGTATAATTGTTCCATGTATCTGCGACTTCCAACGTATGTTGACGGCAACACCACTCTTTCGCCTTTGTGGGCTCCTTCATTTGAAGATTGTTGGTGTACTCCTGACAAATTGGAGTATCTGGATACTCGTAATTTTTTTTATGCTTACGTATGTAATTGAGTCGCTGTGACTCCATCATAGTGAATCCATCAACCAAAAATTGCTGAAACAATCTCCTTGACCTGAGCAGTGTGTGAGCTTCACGTTGTCTGGTCTGAATGCGAAAGGCCAGCCATTCTCTAATAGTAAGTTTGTTCATCTTTCCTTTTTTTTGGGAACTGTCTCTCTGTGTAGAACACCAAGTCTAAATCCATCTTCCCCGTACGGAAACAGAAGTGGATATTGTAATGCAAGATAGCTCGGATGAAACTCACTTATTCGTTTTAGTCTACCGCTTTGTCTTTCAAGGATAATATCCCTTTTTGAGCCTGTATCAACATTACCAACAATGAGGGCTGCAACCTCAGACACGGTGGGTTGGTTGTAAATTCGTCTGTCCTTTAATCTATCAGATATTAACTTCAACTTGAGGTCAGGTACAGGACAATCCTTTAGTCTAGCTGATGCCATTCTAAAAGATTTAGCATGTGTGTTGAATTCGTCAAGCATGTTCTGTATTCGGCTAACAGTTTCTTCAATAATATTCTGGTTGTTGCTGCATTAAAAAATTAGACACATGTCATGCACGATAATAACAAAGGTAATATAAAGTAGGCATCTCAGTTGGCTTAAGAAACATAACCCTATTCCTTGCATCCTATGATGAATCTCATTGTCAGTGTCGTATATATAAAGCTAAGCGAATTTCGGTTTTTCACCATGCACAGGCATCATGCTACCAATTCTATGGCAAGCCTGCCCTTGAATTCTCATGTTAGGTGGTCCATTTCCATTATTGAATCTATTGCCAATTTTCATTCCAGGAGACGTAAATGCAAACATTATGTTGTACAGTCTGCAATTCTGCTGATAATTTCTACATAGTACATCGTTTTCATTCGACAGAAGATGTTTAAGAAACGGTGGTGGTGTTCTCAGAAGTGGCAACACAACTTTACCCTTTCCACAACATAATTGGAACTTAGGCACTGCACTATGTTTTCTCTTGACAACCTTCTCCTGATACCACATTTGTGCTCCACACTGAGTGCATTCAATGGAAGGATCACCAATATCTGAATATCCTGTATTTATCAGATAGAACGAAACATCATATATCTTATACACATCAGTATATTCATAGACACCAAACTGCATGACAGTGAATTTAAGTTATGGTTTGCTATTAATAATAATTCCAACAATACATACCAGCATTTGTGCAATCAATTGTTGGGACATTTGCAGAATGATCTTCGTCGTTGTCCAGACTTGAACTTGTATCATAATCCGGATCTTCATTTATGAATTCACACGAACTATCGGTTAAAGATTCATCGGATGAATAGTCTGCAACTGATTGTTGAACTGGGTTCACTGAGTCAGCACTTCTGAACAGATTGGTATTAAGGGAAGTTGATGTCGTTTCTGTAACACTTGAAAAGGTTTTTAATAGATTCGCAGTCGTTGAACGAATTAGATTTGGATCAAGATGTTTGTTGGATGAAGATGCATAGGAATTCGGTAGTCCATATGAATTATTTTTGCATTTAGTACTTGATGAGGAGGTAACGCCACTCAGAGGTGTGTTAGCATCAAACGGTAAAGGGGAACAAAAGGGCATTCTATCAGCGAGTTTGATCTGCAGATGACCACGGTGGCTGTTGTTTTGGGGACTCTTACGCTTCATTATTGACCTCCTTCTTTGACGTGCTGAAGCAGAAATTTGTTTGGGAGAAATTGTATCAGTAGAAATGCATGAGAAGCTGGGGGAAGATGCAAGTGTTGGGGTTGTGCACTGGTTAAAACCAACACTCCGTCTCCTTTGTTGGGAATTAAGCATTACGCCCTTTGTTCGTGCAGAAACATCTCCATGGCCATTGACAAAAACAGAACTGATATCAGACAGTGGCTGTCTTGTATGATGTTTGCTTACATAACTTGAATTATTTAGGTCATGGTTGTGCTCAGTTGAATTTTCATTAACTCTATTCTTCTGAAATCTTCTTTCATCAAGAACATGCTTCCTCTTTTGTCTTGCAAGTGATGCAGAGTATTTCCTATCTACAAAATGGTTGTTCATAGTTGAAAGAGAATATGGTTGATAACTTACAACTCTTCATAAGTATAACATAATGAATGTAAGAGTAACAAACTTATATGGAATTGTTTGGTTTTGCAGTTCATAACATTTGTATTCTAATTTTTAAGTGTACTCAGATACTCTATTTGTACATTGGATATGAGATAGGGTACAGTGCATTGCATCAGTGAAGTTGCTATATAACATTAATTGTGTTTCATCATTACAGTATATGCTACCAAAGCTTAACAATTATGGGTAGAGGTTAAAAAAGTTAATGTCACATGAATACCATATGTTGGCCAAACTTTAAACAATTATTAGAACACCAAATATTATAACATGACATTAAATACTGTTATGTTGGAAACACAAAATTGCCATTGGAAACCAAAGGTTATTCCTATTGTATTCTATACTATATTCATTTTATTTTTTTTTGTAACATGTAACCATGGTTTGATGTAAATGTGTAAAATTAAAAGTACTTCCAAAAATATACATTTTCCAAGGGATATAAAATGGAATGATCAGAAACTGTTTGTATTCTACATGTCATGTATAGTGTCTTATGTAACTAATGCTTGCTTGTTGGGCCAACAAAAGATATTGTCTAACGTCTGTTTTACTCCATCTCCCTGTCTCTTCGGTTTTTCATCAGAAACAACATTCCAAGAAGACGGTACACCTTTGAAACAGCGTTTTGCTCCAGACAGCGCCGGCCAACCAATACGATGAAGAAAGAGGATCTACGTTGGTGTTCCCGCGGGTAAGTTCTTCCGTTTTGACACACATGTTTCTAAACTTGCAATGAGATCATTTAGGGTTTATACAAAGATGTCTGTGTGCATGATGGGCATGAATGAATTTATATGCAGGGGATTCGTTGGTAGAAGTCACACAACCACGACTCCTAATCCTAAATGGAAAAATCTGGCTATCCAAAAGGTTTGGAAGCAATCAGAGGATAAGCGGGACAGAGCAGAAGAATGGAGAAAGTTGCATGTAGAGGCTAAGAGGAGGAAAGAGGAAGCTGAAAGTTCTTCAAGGTAAAACAGTATTCTGGATAGTGAAAAAAACAAAAAACTGAATGCATGATGTTTGTTGTTTTTTTGATTAAGCAGCAGGAGTTGCATAAAATTTACACGTGCTGAACTTATGGACAAATACTATGAGTATGTCGAAAGAGAGGAATCGTACGAACTGAGAACAAGAAAGGTGAGAAGCTGTCTATCATGGGAAAAGTACTTTGAAATAGCCAGAGAGGAGGGATGGCTTGTTGACATATCAGACGATGAGCCTGAACAGAATTCCACTGATGAAGCAATGGAATCAGCGGGCGATGTGTTGGACAGGCAAGGGATTTTAGGTTACATATATACATTTGAATATTTGACTTTGCAAATTAGTAGTTTAAATAATCGTGTTTGTTAATGCAGCAAGGAGAACAACACTACTGATGCTGCTGATGTTGTACAACCTCCTGCCATGCAAGAGAAACTTGTTTGCAGATGGCAGAAAGTTGTTAAGAGCAGCAGCCAGATAAAAAATCAAGTTCTTGTAAGCTCTTGATCTGTTTGCTGTTACAGTTCGTAAGGATGCATAACATTGAATGAATAGACATAGCTAATAAAGTTTTAATGTTGCAGCACTTTCCAGCAGCAGTCATCAAGGAAATCTTCATGGAACCAAGATCATATATTGATCTTCATGACACAGACTCGGGTATTACGTACCAATGTGTTTTCAAATCCAGGGAGAAGATGACCGAGAAGTTTCGGTCAAGGGGCTGGTTAAAATTTGCAAAGGACAAAGAGCTGTCGAAAGGTGACGTTCTCTTATTCAGTGTAGAGCATCCTCCTGTGGAACGTATATTGGTCAAAGTTGAGAGAGGGCAGCATTGAAAGGAGTTGTTGATTGGATTACATGGGAAGCATCATGGCAAAAAGGAGGGATTATTTTTGTATGGGCGGAAATGCATAACTATTTGTTTTGAAAATCTATTTGATGCCCATTTGTCTTTGTTATTAGTTTTGTTATTTGATATTGTTGGGCTACGGCTCAATGTACAATCTGCTTATGATATGTTAAATGGGATGATACGAAATTAGTTCCATATCTTGCGTTGATGAGATAATTGCATATCGTTTCCGGTATTAGCCGGTAACAATTTATATTAATCAAGTGTCATGGATTTCTGCTATGCATAATCTGTTATTCATGTATCAGTTTTTTAGATTAATGTACAGTATGCTGATATACTACCGTGTATTATGCATAAAGTATGCAAAACAATATGGATTGTCCAGCATCAAGACATAAAGAGAAACATTTTTGTCCATAATAAGTTTATTATATTAAACAAAATAAGGAATTACCAACATCATATTGCTTTTTGTAGTGTAAATTATGCATAGTTTTTTGCAGCTTAAATGACTAAAATCATATCATTCTTTCATATACAATGTCAAAAGGATCAAACAAAAAGCAAGAATGACAAATCAAATCCTCATAAACCAGAATAAACAAAATGTAAACCAGAAATATTTCATTACATCAATCAAAATAAGGTGTGCAATGTTGTCCAAAACAGCTTAAAGTAAAAATAAATCGTCGACGATAATTGACTGCATCATTTCTCCAGCTTGATGTCCCTTATTATCTTGGTGGACGATAGTTGGGCACTGTCGAGTTCTTCAACTGTCTCAGGAATAGATCTTTTTGACGGTGTAAGTGCAGAGTTGGCAACTGAAGGGTCATAATCTGCAGTGATTGATAACGGATCCTGCCATTAAAGAGTCATTACAAAATCAGTAGCATAAAAAAGGAAGTAAGACATTGTTTAATAGGCTAATTTGTTAATGTTGAAAGCTAAAAAAAGACGCACTGAAACTGTTTGTGGATCAGCATGAGACTGTTTTTCCGAGGTGCTGATGGTCGGAGTACACTGCAAGTTAAAAAACGCAAGAAATAAACGTTAGACAATTGTTCAAAATGTGATGGCAAGAGTAATAGGTCGTTCCTATTTAAAACATACCGATGATGTATGCATATCATCCCGAGTGTCATCTGTTGAGACGACAATCTTTGAAGTGTGCTGCAAGTTTTAAACAATTGTTAAAAAAATCCAATGCACATGATACTGATTTTAACAACAGTAAAACATGAGTACAGCAGTACCTCTTCACATTTAAACCTCTCCTTTATTTTGGTACGTAGCACTTCATCTGCCTTAAATCCGATTACAGAAAGACTGGCCTTGTTTGGTTGAAACACTGCTCTTATAGCCAACTCCTTCTTCAGCATCACATCAAGTTCATAAGGGAATTCAAGGGGATCAAAATCTCCAGTCTAAATGATTAAAACAATATATGTTATTTATGTGGTAATTATCTAACTTACATATTAGCCAAATGGAAAATACCTCCATCAAATCCAACTTCATCTGAAGGGCGGACTTCCCAATCAACTTTACACAATCTACATCCCAAAATATGAACTTGTATTTTAACTTTCCAGCGGAGGCAAGCACTTCAAGCTTAAACCTGTACCATGCGTGATCAAAATAAGAAATTGTCAGTAATGAAGCGTTTGGTTATATGATGATAATCATTGATATGCAATACTTAGAAGTTACCTTGGGACTGGCTCAGAACTGATGTGTTTGGAATAACACATGAATTTTCCATCCTTCAAAGTCACACTTTTGGTACATTCACTACATCCATCATAATACCATCCTGACTGCCCACATTCAAACTTCTCCAGAGTCGCAACAGTCACACATGTAGTTTCCTGAAACAGAAAGATGGGATGATGTCTCAAAAAATGGATTACAACCCAGTCTGTGTAATTCCTCAATCTAAGACAGTCATGTATTAAAGAGCAACTTACAGTCTGCAGATATGCAATATCAGACAGACTCAACACTTCAGCTTTCCATACAAATTTGTCCAAATCAGAAAAAACAGAGGTATTTGTGGTTTCCATTTGCATGCTCGAGGATGAGAGCGTCGGCAGATCATCTTTAAGTCTGATGTACATAGATCAGAATGAAAACAGGTTGTTAGTAATCATAGGTTGCTAATTCATAACTTCATAATAAAATCACTTACTTCTCTTTAAGGTTTTTAACCTCCTCAATAGACAAATCATTGATGAGCAGTTTTGTGCCGTTCCAAGCATTTGATACATTTAAAGGATAATTTCCTGAAAATTGAGATATTTATAAATGACAACACTTAAAGTTGGATATAATAATTGGATATAATAAGAAATAGTCACATAGCATACCTTGAGGTTCCTTGATCCTTGCATTCATAAGTAGGAGAACAATACTACCATCAGCCTTATGAGTCGTATAATACTCATTCAGTTGCACAGCTAATTTACCCCAAAGAGTACATTGCACATGATGTTTGTTGATTGACAGGAATTACAAAACAAACAACATGAACATGTTAGACTTTTATATTTATCAGCATCAATGTTAACAAACAAAATGAAACACCTACCTCAGATCAGTTAATGAAAACACAACCTTGCTTTTGTTGTTATCAGGAATTATCTGGGCTTGGGATATTTCAGTAACCCCACCAATTATATCTGCACAAAAGTTCACCACAGACAGTTATGTATAACGGAGAAGTCACAATACAATGCGTTCTATTATAACAGTAAAAATGTAACTCACCATATAACAAATTCGTTCTGTATTTACCCTCAATAATAGCATTTATTCCAATTAACTTGAGGTGGTTCAGAGGTATGTCAGCAAGTTGGACCTTTTTGACGGAAGTTGAACCACAGAAAATCAGTTTGAACTTATGATCAGTGGATTTGAAGGAGAAATCATTGCTGGAAACTTTGAAATTCTACATTATGTAGGAACAACCAAGTTCAAGCTGTGTTTTGAATTTTGATACCAAATAAGATGGCACAATGGCTTGAATCAAATCCAACTGTGAAAATACAAACATCTTGAAATCAGTATCATATACCAGTACTGTTACAACAAAATCAGAATTGCAAAGCAGAAACGTTTAGATTGTATTATACCTTTGAATCAAACAGAATAAGCTCTAAGTGCTCTCTATTCTGAGAACTGGTAACAGACCACAGATGCTTACATCTAACAGCAACCTTCCACAAATCCTTCGAATCGTCAATGCTACTGATATACTCGATTGGGCGCGCCATCGTCACGCAACGATTCGTAACAGCGCAGAGAGCCTTGCGTAAATGAAAACGAAAGAGACGTCTGTAGCAATGGCTTGCGTGAATGAAAACGACTGGAAGGTGTTAAGCAATGGAGGTTATACATAAGTACACATTGGGGAAGGATTGAAGGAAGAGTGAAAAACTTTTAGGATTCCATTTGAATTTGAATTCTGATTAAGAGAGGCATAATGGTTTGGCATGGGGAAGAGGAAGAGAGACACAATGAATGGCAAGGAATAATGGTTTGGCATGGGGAAGAGGAAGAGAGGCATAATGGTTTGGCATGGATTTATTTGAAAAAAACAAATTGAAAATGTGGTGAAAAATTGTGGGAGTGCCACATCAGATTCAAATCAATGTGGTGCAAGATATTTTGGAGTTTCCAATTTTACCCCAATACAATAGACCAACAATGAATTTTTTCAGCTGTGGTGTTGTGGTAATTTCCAGGGACTATGATTTTTATAGATAGATAATAGATTTGTTAATTACATTTAGTTTAGTCCTTGTTGAATCTTTTTGTTAGTATACTTCATACATATTACCCAATATTATTTTAAAAATAATTTTTTCAATTTTTTAAAATAAGTTTTATAAAACTATATTTTTTATGTTTAAATTTTTTTACAAAGAAATCTTAAATGAAGTGTCAATAATAACAAGAGTTTTCACTTCTTTTAGTTTTCAACTGTTTTATTACTCTTTTTCAAATATTTTCACAGTCTCTCAAGCTATTATCCTTACACCTCAACTAAACCCTTTCATTCTTCTTCTTTTTCTTCAATGTCTTCCATTAACTTCAACCCATTTGGTGGAAACTGGTTTCCATTCTCAAAACCACCAAACCCTCTCCCTCTCCCTCTCCCTCCTCTCAACTCCCTCTTCAATCTCTCCCAATCTCCCTCCAATTTTGCATCCACATCTCTCTCCTCCTCCACCACCACCACCGCCGCAACCACCGCCATCACCGATGAAAAAGACCAACCCGGTCCATTCACTAAAATGGTCCAACAATTCTTCTACGAATGCGAGAATCTCCCCGACCACAGACACACGCCACAGGTTGAAAAAATCCTCAACGAAAACGATGCGTTCGAATCAAACCCTAACGCCACGGAACAAGAAATGAACGAGAATGAAGAGTTTATGGAAACAGTGAGGAACAATCCGGTGATACAGTTTCTGATGAGAGCGGAGTTTATTGTTGATAAGATGCATGAGATTGAGATGAAGAAGAATGAGAAGCCGTATAGGAAAGAGGACAGGGATGTTTGGAAGAAGGTGCCAAATGTTATTGGACTTGACGGAAGGCCGATGCCGAGGAAGTCACAGTCCAGGTTCACGGGGCATGCTAAGTTTTGGGATTTTGCTAGACAGTTTTATCTTGGGATTTGGGGGTTTTGGCAGAGGCCTTATCCTTCTGGGAAACCTATTGATGCTGCTCAAACTATGGGATATAAGAGGCTTGAGAAACGATACTATGATTGTAAGTTTTCTTGAAATTCAGTTCATTTTGTATTTGCCTTTGGCTTTTACTTGTAGATTTTGTCTAGTTAAGAATGGCGCATTTGACACATTCCTATTAATGTTTTAAAAATGGAACCAAAAGTTCAACCGAGTGAAGCCTTTGTGTTATGGTTTAAATGCTTTCAAATATTCTAACGGGTAACTGCCCAAATAATTGAACTACAGATAGTGTTAGTTTATGATTCAGTTCAACTGATCAGTTTGATTATTAAAATATTCAGTCATAAAATTTTGACCGAGTCTACAATACAAAGTTGGATTGTGAGCCATCCAATGTCTATTTGATGGTTTAAATTGGAGATTATTTGATTGTGCGTGCTTATGGAATTCAAATTTGCAAGAAATTCTCTACTATAAAGTGAGAAAATAAATGATTTTTATTTCAACAAATGGGTGGTTTGTTATGATATACTTGCAATATCTACCTTTGATTTTCTATTCAATGATCCATAATTCTCACCTTAGAGGAGTCAGAACCAATTTGCGGTTATGTGCTTGAATTTGTGTCTAATGAAATGTTCAATTATTTTGTTTTGTTTAGATTTTTTTATCTAGTTTTGGTGAACATAGACGGGAGACTAATTTCTAAACCTCATTACGTAATTGGATTCTCTGTAGCCACTTTTGGTCGTTAGATAAATATAGGGTGACTAATATTTCGAGATATATCTTAGATTCGAATTGGTGGAGTTAAAATATGAGATGTTCAATCTGCATCTAACAATTGGAATGCCTTCCCTATATTGTGTGCTTTCTCTAACCGTATGGAATCCAAGTCTCATAAGGAGAGACCGAGATGTGATATGTAGGTAATTTAACTGGATTTGACTACTTGTAAATGAACTTTAGAAAGTAAAGCAATACATTTTAATCATTTGTTAGAAAATCAACTCTTGGTATTCCAACACACTCGTGATTTTGTTATTCATGAACACAGTGTTAATGAATAAAATCAATTGGCAAAATTACTTACTACTCAATAGGTTACCAAAAAGTGGCTGTTATATGATTCAAACAGTTTAATCCCTAACGTTGGGAGTGATGTCACTTTGTTTACAAATATCTTTTGTGCTAAATAGTAGCTCTAGTATCTGTTTTTTACTTCTTAGCTTTGTTGACAGGTTGAAACAAATTAGAGCACGTGAATTTGGTTTTATATTTGGTCTGCATTCAAAGTAGTATCGTCAATTGTGAATTGCAGAAACTAGAGGTTTGTTGAAATTCCGACATGTTACTGCGCTCTGGTGCACCACTATTTTACAGCACTATGTACTAAATCACATATCAAGGGACAGTAGGAATTTCTTGTTCTGTTGCGCTATTTGTCAATACTTATTGAAAGTAGAAACACAACAAAAGTGGAACATTTTTCATTCCATTGTTTGAGTGGGACTAAGAAAAACAAACAGAACTGCTGTCTCTCGCTGCTGTTTGAATGCCAAGCGTATGGGTATGGCACAGGCCTCAAAGGGCAGAACTAAATAGAACAGTCTGTTTTATACTTTTCTGTTTTCTTTGGCTCATTTTTGGATGAAATCAAACTGTTCCTGTTTTTCTATGTTAAGTTCTTGTAGCTCTGCTTTGAATATGCACAACATATAGAACAGACGACATAGATTTTGTTTTGTCCTGATCTAACCTATATACTAAATGCTTAGTAACTTGGGAGGATTTTCAATTAGTAAGACTTATTTTTCTGTATCTTTCTTTGGCTGCCCATGTGTATAGTTGTGTTAATCAAATTTTGTATCTTTCTTTGGCTGCCCATGTGTATAGTTGTGTTAATCAAATTTTGTATCTTTCTCTGGCTGCATGTGTATAGTTGAGTTAATCAATTTTTTTATCTTTCTTTTGGTGTCTGTGCATGGTTGCGAGACTAATTTTTGAGTGTGGAAATTTGGTATTACTTTCCCTTGAGTTACAGTTCCAGAATTAGAACTTTCAAATTTCTATCGTTACAGTTAATGTTGGTGTTGCGGTCTACTTATATTGTCACCGACTCACCAGTCATTTATTTGGGCTTAAGGGCAAATTTTAGTTTTTCTCTTTTTCATTTGAAGTTTTTGATAAAATCTTTCTTAGGAAGATTCAATTGCAAGCTATTTCAAACACAAAATAAGGTAGTCAAAATAGCTTGCCAATAAGGGTTGGGCTTACCTGGCAGGATGCTTAAGATTGAAGAATTAGCTCAAGAGTTCGACTGTGTATTTTGAAACACTTGGGAGTTAACTAATTTTTAGGAATGAATAATGTTCACAAGAAGGTCCTGCTTGGGTTCATTTCTGTTGGCGATCTTTCATTGATAGATAGCAACTAACTCAAACGACCCCACAATGGTCGTCTAACAATCTATCTGCCACTTCTTTTGTTTTTTCATTTGAAAAAAAATAAAAAATTTACTTAGGATAATTTAGAAAGGGTGGCTGTGCAGACTATGTAATTATATAACTAGTTAATTACTATGACACATGAATCAAATGTGCGATATCCAATCCATATCATCTTTGTTGAAGGTTCTGTGGTAAAATATTAAACTCTGGCTGAATATAACTATTACATTGGTTCATGTATCGACTCAGTGTTTTTGCTTTGTTTCATTGTGTATAACATTGTTTCTATTTTCTATTTGATTTAGTTATCATGAGGAGTGGTGTATGGTTCTACAAGGATCGGCTGGGTCGAACACGAGGGCCATTGGCATTGCATACGCTTAAAACTGCTTGGGGCGGTGGGGTTATTGATAAAAACACTTTCATTTGGGGTGAGGATATGGATGAATGGGCGCCCATCCACATGATTTATGGAATGGAGCGTGCAATCGCTACTTGGGAAGGTATGTCGAGTTTCATCTTATTTACTTTATTTAATATATTTTGCTGTGATAATCTAATGACTCCACGTGAACAGTCTTTTATTTATGGAAATTAGAAAATGCGCCCGAGCCATTTTTAGGAATGTCGAGGAAGTGACAATTTTTTTGGCAATTTTTTAGTTCGACTTGCTGCTTCAGCAACAGCTTTCTTTCACAAACTACAAAAAGGTATACCACCATGGGTTCCTCTTAAGGGATTTGAAAGGAAGTCTTATAAGCAGCTTCAAGAAGAGGCAATAGAGAGCAAGAGGCGTGATTTAGCAGTAATGGAAGCTAATGATGGTATTTGGCCTGGAGTTAGAATTCCAAGTCATGCCCTGTTTCTTTGGGCTAGTGGCTCTGAACTGACCCCTACTTTGGAACAAGATCACATGCCCAACAAGTGCATTCCCAAAGATCTAAGGTATGTCTGCAACTACTGTATTATATATGAACATACTTTTATGTGCTTTTACTTCCATTTTCACAAGGCTTTCTCCAAAATACAGCAGGAAGTTTTAATAAAATGCAGTGTTGTTAATTAGTGGGCTAATAGAGCTATAGCATAGTGTCATTTGAATCAGACTGGTCAATTACGGATAGCGGCGCGGAGCGGCAGACTCCAAAAATAGGGTAGCGGGATAGTGTATAGCGGGATGGCTGCTATTTGATCATTTTTTGGAAAAATTACATGAATAATACTAATAAACATATGAAATGCTGAGGGAAGAGCGAAGTATAGAGAGAGCTAAGGGAGGAAGTTGTGATTTTTCTTTGGAATGGCTTAAGTGCAGAAACGTCGGTGAAGGAAGGTTAGGGTTGAATCTCTATTCAAATTTGATTGAAAAATCCAAAATTACCCTTAAAAGGTTTTAAATTTAAGGGGGTAATTTCAGTTTTTCAGAGGGGAAAAGGATAGCTGGGCAAATATCGCTCCGGCCAGGAACCGCTCTACCCCCGCTACCTCCTATTTACCCTATTGCAGCCGCTATAGTGTTATGTGCTGCCAAGGCTCTTCCCATAGCGGCTGGCCTCTGCTCCGTTATAGCGGTATAGGGCTGCTATTGGCCGCTATTTACTACTCTGAGTTGAACAAATTGTTGTTATTCATGATACTCTATTTAGTACAAATGTTTGTCAAATAACTGTTATGGCGGCGCTGTAGCTTATAACACTATTGTGCAGCGGATTTTGAACAAATGCCATATCTGCGATTGTGATTGCTATGTTCTTTTTATTATTGTTACTAACTCTTGCCTTCTTATATGCTCCCTTCTTTATATGTATTAATTTGTTTAATAATTTTCTTTGGGTTTGGGAATTGCTGTGAGATAGGCAGCAGTTGGCTAAACTGATTCCAGGATTGAGGCCATGGGAAGTTCTGAGCATAGAACAAGCAATGGATCACATAGCATTCAATGGTGAATGGTACCGTGAACCACTTGGTTCGTACAACACAGGTCCGCCATTCCTCAGACGCTGGAATAGGGACGTGCAGGTAAGCGTGTTTTTCCGTCAAAGAATTTGGAATCATTCATCGAGTATTTTGTTTTCTCTCTTTTTCTTTTGACATGCTTTACTAATTACAGCTCTTGTGTTTCATATCTTGGTAAAGGGCAAATACAAATTGGTTTTTGTAATAGCATAAAATTTGATCTGCTTTGATTATTTGCAGAGGTTTCATGAAGCGGTTTATGGCGTGAGCGGTCTAGCACATCAAGCATTGATGGCGAGATTTCCTGGCTATGAGAAAATTGCCAATAAAGTCCTGCAGGATTTTAAAACAAGAATTGTGGAAACGAAGAAGAAGATGAAGAGAGAGGCCCGCCTTAAGAAGAAGTTGCCTAACAAGTAATGGCCTAAAAATTAGAATTTCATGTGCCATTTGCTTATGTGATTTATGCAAGATCATATGGCAAAACTTCATTGTGCTTGAGTAGTTCAACTTTTTGAAAGACAATGTATTTGCCTATTTATTGGCTAAAACGATGAAAATGAAATATATTCCACCAGTTATTTGTGGTTTTGGAGGATAACTTTAATATATATTTAAAATTTTAAAAATTAACATAAAAGATGATTTATAATCATATAATAATTTGAATCTTTTTACTTTTAGAAATATTTGATCATTAACATAAATTAGTTTATTTAAAAATTCCCCCGAGTTAAATTTTCATCTCAAATAGATCCTTAAAGTCCATCATCTCTCTAAATATAAGTTATACAATGGGTTTAATTGTGTTTTTTTAGTATTTTAAATTGGTAAGAATTAAAATAAAATAAAAAGATGTTTTCGATATCTTTTAAGGTGTGTGAGGTTGTGATGGAGTTAGTGAGGAAAATACGAGAAATGATAATGTGGCTAGTAGTTCATATGGTGTTAATAAGACATGGAGTGTGTATGCTACAAAAAAAATATTGAAAGAGAAAGAAGATGATGCGAGTAGTTTATGTGGCAACTATACAAAATCTTGTATGTTATATGAGATTTACTACAAAATTAGCGGGGAGAGTTATGCAGAGTCTTCTATATTATATGTGACTGGTTAGTGGGGAGGCAGTTTTTGTGGAATCTTATATGTTATATAGGATAGCTAGTGGGGGCAGACATGTATCAAAGTCTCTCTAATGTGTTTGGTTTAAAACAAAAATTGTGAAAGAGAGAAATAAGTAAGATACAGTATTTGAAAATTCACTCCTTGCTCTCTGGAACGTAGGTTGGTTATCAGAATTTGATGTCAAACTCTAGCCTTCCAGACGGAGAGTCGTTGGACAAGTAATCATTCCGGTGGGAAGAGCAATTTTCAATCTAAAAAACTCTACAAATAACATAAAATAAGTTTTCCTTCAATGTTTTTAATTCAAGTTGAGTTAAAAAAATAAAAGCAGACCATAATTTTCGAAGGTTTGATAGAAAGGGACAAATAGGAACATTCGAATAAGGAATATCACAATAAAAGGAAGAGAAAGAAAGAGAGAAATGTGTGAAGAAGAGTCGATGAGGATGCAAATTACATGAGAATGCAATATAAACCTCCACTCCTCATTATTCACCCTTATCACCTCACTATTTCCTTCTTTCCTTTCATTCCTTTAATGGTGGACTTTCAATGTCATTGTTATCATCGTCAACAAGTAGATCTTCCAGTTCAAATTTTTCATTTGTAAATTTTTTTTCTATTTCATGATTATTTTATTTAAATCTTAATTTATCACATTTTTATTTTTTTTCTTTGTTGTTACCACTACTAGAGTTCCAATGTTAAACCTATCCTAAGATGCATTTGTTTTTTATTGAAAAATATAATTTTAAAATCGTCATATATAAAATCTGTTTGTTTCAATTTAAAAAAAAAAATTTATAATGTTATATATTTTTGTTTTAAACTTTTTTAATTAAAACTTCAAATTAAAAATTGATTTGAATAATTATTTTTAAAATATTATTTTAAATATTTTACCATTTTATTTTAATTTTCTTTAGATATTAATACTTACGAAAATTACTTAATTTTGTAGCTATTTCGAATAGTTTTTTTTTATAAAAATCATTTTTTAGATACAATTTTTTTAAAAATTAAAATATTAACTATATTCTATTGATCAATAATGTATGTTTATGTTATAAGATATAATGTTAATCTTTCAATTTATATAAATCGAATTTAAAAAAATTTATAATATTTTTAAATTTTTTATTTATAAAAATCTCTTTTAAAAATACAAAAAAAAAATCTATTATATTATAGATAAAAGAGACATGTTCATACTTAATTGTTGTTGATAAGCTAGAAGAACCTTTGTATTTGTTAATTGCAATTTTTGTTGTTGTTTTCACCGCCTTATTAGGACGTTTTGGTAGAGGGTTCTGAGTTTTGATAGAGGAGAAGATATTTTTTAAGAGATACAAAAAGCATCATCCCTTAGAAATAGTTCATTTTTAAGTTCCCATATTTCCAAAACTCTATCGGATCATTGGTTTACTTGGAAAAAAAGTTTAATTATAGTTGATGGAATCCAATGGCGTTTGTACCATAAAATACTCCTAAAACATTTCTTATAATCCAAAACCGTAATACATATATAGAAATCCTTAAACCTAAATAAATATAAAACTTACTAAATCTTGTAACATCTAATATATCAATAAATGGTAAGAAGTTTCACTAGCTTGGACTTAAATAAAATTGTCATAGTATAAAATTGTTTTACTAGTTAGTTGTCTACAAGTACATAAAATTATTATTATTATTATTATTATTATTATTATTATTATTATTATTATTATTATTATTATTATTATTATTATTATTATTATTATTATTATTATTATTATATATTTACTCTGAGAGTAAATTAAGAATGTTACTCCAAATCTAATTTAATGGTTAAAAATAACCTTATTCTCACGTGATCAATCTCAAACAATATTTTTTTTTTATATTGGATCAAATCTTGAAATTTATCATCAAAATCTTAAATTGAATTAGAATATTAATTTAAATTAAATCTCATTTAAAGAAAGCAAAAATTTTCAGGAGTGTGTCTCATATATATACTGATATTATTTTTCGGTTCAATAGATTTTTTAGTATTATTTTGCACTCATTTCACTCACGATTTTGCCATAACAGACGACGAGAAAGTTAGAAATCAAAGTCACAACTTATAAACTTTAACGTAATATTGTGTTGTTATCATAAAAAGTGAAATAATACCCTCGTTTTATTTATTTATTAACCTTTCTCTCTCGATACAACATTTAGAAAGTTAGGAATACCGGTCAAAACTTATATTGTGTATAACTTGGAGGAAAGTGAATGGCTTCAAGGATTAAACAAGATTAGAGAATCATGGATACCAATTTATAATAGAAGAATATTTTTTTGCTGGAATGAATACTACACAACAAAGTGAGAGTATTAACTATTTTTTATTCTTTTGTTGATGCAAAGACTATATTACAAGAATTTATGGTAAAGTATTAGAAAGCGGTTGAAAGTCGATTGGAGGTAGAAAGAAGGAAAGATTACGAATCAGACATAAATCACGAATTTTAACTATTGGATCAAAACTAAAGAAACATGTTAGCATTAATTTATGCAAGAAATATTTTTTGTAAGTTTCAAGATGAGTTTGAAACATCAACCAATTCACTAAATTGAAGACTCTACCTCCAATCGACTATGATCCTCAAGATACATTTGATATAGATTTAAATTAAAAAATTACCAATTGTGGCTGTCAACTATTTGAGTTCATGAGCATTCTATGTAGACATATACTAGTGATATTTCAATTAAAAGGTGTTGTTCAAATTCTTGATCATTTTATTTGCACCGTTGGACTAAGGATGCTAATAAAGAAATTAATTTTAGTGATACTAAATATGATTTTGATAGTCATTCTGATACACCAAAGATTTTAAGAAGGGTGGATGCAATCAATCAAACAATCAAAGTAACAACTAATAAGATGGAAAATGAGTTACTGTCAAGCAAAATCTCCATATGGAGTTTGACAGTTTATCAATGCAAATGTTGAAATACCCACCACTGCATGCATGTCTCTTGGGTGCTACATCTCCAAGTGCACTATGATTGTCTCTTTAGGATTACACATCTGCAAGTAATTGTAAATTGATAGAAACCCACCATCAAGACTAACATAGCACAATTATCATTTAAACTATAATTCACAAAGATAATAGTGTTGGTTAAATTCAAATTTGTATTTGATAGTGCAAAAGACAGATTCTCTTTGGGGAGTGAGAAGTTTATTCCTTAGGGACCTAGTAATAGTTAATGTTGTAACATTTAATATTCTATCTTGTGATCTCTATATAAATCATTTTGTATTCATATTAAAAGTTAGTTGGACATTTTATAAAAGAAAGTAAGTTTAAGTCCACTCTCATTTTCTCCTCAAATTGGTATCAGAGCGCATGACAAATATGATGGGTCAAATGCCACTGCCACGACTATCAAAGTCGAATTATGAGAACTAGAGTATCTAGGTGAAGGCGCTTCTGGGATCGTTAGATGTATGTGAAGTAACTAACGATGAGTTTGAAGAACCATCAAATACGACGGCAAACACAACTGCTCAGAACAAAGCGTTGAAAGAAACACGAGCAAAGGATAAAACAACATTGTACATGTTGTTCAGAGCAGTCGACGAATCAGTTTTCAAAAATATTGCTGGTTCAACTACGTCGAAGGAAGCGTGAGACACGCTAGAAAAGGCTTTCAAAGGAGCAGATAGAGTCAAGCAAGTTCGCTTGCAGACTCTTCGAGGAGAAATTGAGAGAATGAAGATGAAGGAGACAGAGTCTGTGTCAGACTACATCACTCGTGTGCAGACGATGGCAAATCAACTCAATCGAAATGGAGAAGCAATGACTGATGCTTGTATTGTCGAAAAGATTCTGAGATCTTTGACAGATAAGTTTGAAAATATAGTATGCGCAATAAAAGAGGCGAATGATCTTTCGACAATCACTGTCGAAAAAGTCGCTGGTTCACTTGAGGCATATGAATAGTGCAAAATAAAGAAGAAGGAGGAGACACTTGAGGATGAAGAACTCAACAGAGACGAAAAAACACTTTTCTCTCAAAACTGGCGTGACAGAGGACGTGGCCAGAAAGGTGGTAGGTCGAATTACAACAATATCGAATGTTGCAAATGTAACAAACAGGGGCACTATGCGAAAGATTGTAACTCCTACAGTTGCTACAACTGTGGTAAAGTGGGACATCTTGCAAAATATTGTTGACTCGGAAGAAAGATAGAAGAAACAACAAATCTTGCCCTAGAAACAGAATCAAATGAAGGATTTCTATTAATGACTCA